CGGTAGGTTTGCGTCGTGTCGACCAGCGGCGACCCCAGCGCGGGCGTTCAAGGTTGAACGCCGCCGGCGATCCAGAATCGATCGATGTGGAACGATCGGACGTTGCGGCAGCGGCCGATCGTTCAAGGTTGAACGATCCCCGCGGTGTCAGGAACCAAGGCCGGAGTCGGCACGACACGAACCTGTCGTAATTGGACCTGGTTAGTAGTAGGCCCCCGGAGCCTCTCAATTGGCCAGAATCACGATAAGCCAGGTCTGCCGTAGCTGGTGTTTTTTCGGGCGGCGGCAGTTCCGGTCAGTGGAACGGGGCAGGGGAGGCCTCCCCCAGCACACAGCACTAACAGAGGAAAGAGAACTATGCACATACACCGATTCTGGCCAGGCCCATCCTGAGCCCAGGATCGGTGCATACGCCCTCCCACAGTGGCCAGGAAAGCATGTGCACCGACCCTGGGTCAAGGATGGGCCTTACCAGGATCGGTGCATGCGCATAGTTCTCTTCGCCCTAACTAAACCAGGTCCCACGAAACCCGGTCCTGCCGACGCCCGACACGTTGGGCCCGAGCACCCGGAGCGCGCCCCGAATTCTCGCGAGAGGCCCGTCGCAGGCATGCCCCTCGGGGGCGGGCGTGCGGGACGCCCGCTCGCGGCTCCCCAGGCTTCCTCGTCGTCTTCCTCGCCCCCAGACGTCCGGTGTTCTGACTTCTTCCCTGCGGGGCCCCTGGATGTCTCTGCCGTTCTCACGCGGCTGGCGCGTCACAGGGGAACGAAAAGTGGCGTAAACATAGAAACTCGGTGGTCCGCGCGGAGTTCTTGGATCCGCGCTGGACCCCCCTCCCTGGCGCGCTCCGCGCGCCAGGGGCGGCGCCGGAGGCGCCGCCAGGGGGCCCCAGCGCCGATCCGAGAAATCCGCGCGGACCTCCGAGTTTTTATGTTTCTGTCATTGTCTGGTCCCCTACTTCATCCCGAGCCATGTCTTGGCGGCCCCGAGGGCCCCCAGAGGTCGAGACCGGCAGGAGGCCTCCGATTCAACTCTCCTCAGTGCTTCGGAGGCGTCTGCGCCTCCGAGCGTCTGAGCGCCTGCCTGAATGTCCTCGATGTCTCTGCTGCGTTTGCTTCAGGTTCGCACTAACAGTAAGTCGGGCCTGTCCCTCTACAGGGGGAATATCCAAAAATAGTCAAAAAGATAGTCTGTGGATATTTTTTGAGTGTTTTTGTTTATTTGAGTATTTTGGGTGTTTTTTGAATATGTTTTGACTATTTCTATTTTTCGTCGAAAACACCCCTGTAGGGGGACACGCCCGACGTAACACTAACATGCCACATGTGTTGTTCAGATCGCCCGAAAGAGCAAGACACATACTACTTTCGAGGTCTGGCCCCCCGCTCCCCCGGCCCATCTGAGCGGGGCCAGCAGATGCCCGCGTGCCCTTGCTGTCTGGCACCCTTGCTACAGCGGGTCGCTGCCGTGGAAGAACTTCGGGGGTCTCCTGACGGTGTGGTGACCACACCGCGTGGTGAGGCAGTGAGGATTCGGGGTCACCGCACGGTTTTGGGACCCGGGTCGTTCTCAGAGGACGTCTCGGGCCACAAGGGTTAAGTCGGGCATGTCCCTCTACGGAAGGAGTATTTAGAAATAGTGACTTTAAAAATAGTCAAAAAATAGTATGGGGAGGATTTGTTTGAGTATGTTTGACCTTTTTCGAGTACTCTTCAACTATTCCGCATTTTTCCCCCAAGCTCCGCCTGTAGGGGGACGTGCCCGACCTAACACAACGGCCTCCAGGGTCCCAGAACCCTGTGGTGACGGTCCGCGCGGTGAGGTCGTTGGGGAATTCCGAGGGCGCCACGCGGTCCCTCACCACACGGCTCTGCGGCCACGAATAATGAACTTTTTGAAGCATCTACGCCCAGAGAGTTGGTGGGATTCTCGGGGCTGTGGGGTCGTCCTACGGGGCGTTTTTCCGGCGTCTGCCTGTCTGTCTGTCTGTCTCTCTGTCTGTCTGTTTTGTCTGGTCTGGTCTGGTCTGGTCCGGTCTGGTCCGGTCTGGTCTGGTCTGGTCTGGTCTGTGTGTCTGTTTGTCTGGTCTGTCTGCCTGGTCTGGTCTGGTCTGGTCTGGTCTGGTCTGGTCTGGTCTGGTCTGGTCTGTCTGTTTGTCGGTCTGTCTGTCTTGTCTCTTCTTGTTTGTCTGCTCTGCTCTGCTCTGTTCTGCTCTGGTCTGGTCTGTGGTCTGGTCTGTCTATCTGTTTGACGCCGCCGCGCCTCTGTGAGCCAGGACGGCGGTGCCGATCGACGGGGTGCGTTACATGCTCCAGAGGATTAAGCGCGACTGCCCGTTCAGCTACCTCGGGAAGGAGGGCAGCTCCTCGCGGGTGCACTGACGGGGGTGGGTCTCGTTGACGCGGGGGGCGGGGGAGGGTGCCTGGGCATTTTTTGGGGGGGGCCTCTGAGGGGAAGGGCGAGGAGGAGGACTGTCCTGCTTCTCTGAGGCGGGGGAGGAGAGGGGAGGAGAAGGAGGAAGCTGGGGCCTCTCCCCCAGCTTCTGTCATGATTTTCTGACAGTTTGGTGGTGATGATGGTGATGATGCTGCTGATGATGATGATGGTGATCATGTTGATGATGATGATGATGATGATGATGATGATGATGATGATGATGATGATGATGATGATGATGATGATGATGATGATGATGATGATGGTGACGATGGTGACGATGGTGACGATGATGATGATGATGGTGATGATGATGATGATGATGATGATGATGATGATGATGGTGGTGATGATGATGATGATGATGATGATGATGATGATGATGATGATGATGATGATGATACTGAGGAGGAGGAGGAGGAGCAGGAGGATCAGAGTCAATCCAAGATGTACCAACGATGCTGCAATACGCCCTCCCGTCCCAAGTTCCCTTCTCACATAAGTCCACACACACCTTCCTCTCCTCGTCAAGAAGCGCCCCGTTGAAAGAACAGCACCTTTTGGGCCTGCCAGCAAGGCGAGAGCCCCGCTTTGAAGAGGAACCAGTTGCCTCTCTGCCTTCAACCGAATCGTGAGGAACGCGCGAAGGCATGATCGTACAGCTCAGCGAGGTGTCGAGCGAGGCCCCCGTTTGGAGCAGAGGCCGCCCCGATCTTTGCAGCATCGGTCCCCACGCCTGCAGCCTCAAGCGAGAGCCCCACTTGGAGAAGGAGCCGCCCTCCATCCGTGCAGCTGTACCATGTGTTCAAGCTTTTATTATTACTTTTATTTCTTTTCTTCTTCTTCTTCTTATTATTATTATTAGTAACATCATTATTATTATTATTATTATTATTATTATTAGTATTATTAGTATTATTATTATTATTAGTATTATTATTATTATCATTTGTTTAAGTTCCAGGGGCGATCCCTACACATGCTTTTCGCTACGAGGGTGTTGCACGAGCGCCTCGAGGCACGCGCTCGAGCCCCATCTGCTTTCGAGCTCCGAGCGGGCGTTCGAGCACGCGCGAGTGGCGTTGCAAGCTGCGACGCCTCTGACTCCAGCTGCGGCACAGTATGACGAGCCACTCAGCACTCATTTGCCGCAGTTCATGGCGGCTCTGGCCGCTCCCGCTTCCGCTCACGGAGGCGCCCTTCCTCGAGCGGCGCCACCGCTCGCATCGTCGAGGCTCGATCACTTGGTTCTTCGGGCCTGCCCGGGCCGTGTCACGGTCCCGCCTGAAGCGACACCCGTCTCCAACTCCAGAGGAGCGAGCACCTCCTCCTCCTCCTCCTCCTCCTCCTCCTCCTCCTCCTCCATCTGAGGGACAGCGAGCTGTTGGTGGCGACTGTCGGGATGCCGCCGAGAGAGCTCCTGCTGTCCTGTGCAGGGCACGCCTTTCTAGCATGACCGTGTTGATCCGATCGATCCGATTCGATATCGGTGTCGGCCGGCCCGATCCGATCCAATTCCGATATTGCGACGATTCGATGCGGCCCGATGCTCGCATGGCGCTGTTGTGCATTCTGGCGCAGCCGATCCGACTCGCTTGCGATTCCGTGCCGATGCAGCCGAACCCGACGCGCACTCCGATTCGATCCGGCTTCCCGATTGGATTATGACAGATTTTGTCCCGGCATGGCCATAGGCTTCCACACTCGCAGCACAGCCGCTTCCGGCGATGCGCAGCACGTTCTCGAGAGTCTCGTCCACGTTTTTCCTCCTTGCTGCCGCCCTCTGCTGCCGTCCCCTCTTCGGACGGGGCTGGGACGAAGATAAGTTCGGTCCCGTAGCCGCCAGATCGCAGAGATTCTCGATTTATCCTCACCCGATGTTAACCTCGTCCTGGCTTCGTCTTACCACGTTTCCCTCCTTCACTGCTGCCGCCTTCTGCTTCCGTCCCGCTCTTGCGTTCCATCCTGGCTCCATCTCGACCCGACGGCCGCGAGCACGCGGGCAGCACAACACACAGAGCGGCAAGCACCTGCAATGTTGCACAGCTACCGATATGGCCTGCCCGCAGCATGCCGCTGCACTCAGCCCTGGGCAGGACATGCAGCGAGCAGCTAGCCAGGTAGGCAGCTGCTCGGCATGCCTACACAGCGCAGCCGCGCCGCCTTGGCACGGACTGCGCAGCAGGCCATCTCGGAATCATTGTTCCGTGCCCTCTGCCGACCAGCACGCGTCTGTCTCCCCCCCGTCCCCTCCCCTCGGCATGGGGTGGTGGTGTAAATGTTGGCCGGAGCGCACTGCCAATGCGCCACAGCCGAGGGCGCTGGGCCGCCGGCGCGCCGACCGTTGCGCGTTTCGGGGCGGCTTCCTGGGCCGATGGAGCCTGCCGTTCGTTCGTTCGCTCTCCCCTCCCCTCCCCTCCCCTCCCTTCCCCTCCCGCTCTGCGCCCTCTCTTTCTCTCCCTCTCTTTTGTTCTCTCCGGTCTTGGCTCGAGGGTCCCAGACCCCGAGCGCCGCCGCAGCGCGGATTCCGCCAGCGCCTCTGTCCGCTTCCTCCACGCGTGGCGAGACCAGGCGCGCGCCCTCCCCCGGGTGTGTGGCTGCTTCGCGTCGGTTCCATGTCGCGCGCGCGCCGCAACGGCTCCCGAAGGCCCTCGCCGCGTGCGCCACGTACCACCGCGGCCCGAGACATCAGGCAACGGCCGCCAAGCCTCCTGTCCAGAGAACCTTCTTGTCATGGTGCCAACATCGCAGAGCGGATTTCGTTCGGAAAACGATCGGGTGGGCCCGGGGTTTCCTGGAGAGTTTCGTTCCGGATTTCGAGGTGACTTTCGTGCCAGGAGTGAAGACTAAGACAAATCCACGCGAAATTCGCTTCGTCTTTCACTCGCCGTATCGGTGTTTTTGCATTGACAGAAATCCATGCGCAAATCCGCTGCAGCACGTCTGCAAGGTCGGCGCAGTGATTCTTGTACGCTGGGAGGCCTGCGCCGGTGCTCTCCAAAGTCGTTGCGGCGCAGACGGGGTTGTTGCAGCCTGCGGCGAGCTCGTCCAAAAGCACCCGGCCGACCTCGAGACCGTATGCCAACAACACCCTTCCAATCAGCCTCGGTTCAGCAACGAGCTGATGAAATTGCGCAGGATCTTCAAGAACGGCTACACAAAACTCCATGTTGCCCTTATACGCAATACGGGCACCAGCTGTGACCCACCAGGGTTCACGGCCCCGGTCGCTATCCACCAGGATAACGGAGCAGCCCCTCTCATCAGCCTCGATGCGCCAAGCTGGGACGTCCCGATCGCGCCTCCGCTCACCAGGGCCGGTCACGGGGTCTCACACACCAGCAGCATCCCGCAGTGCACTTGAGGCAGGGAGCCATGTTTTGCTACACCCCACAAGCAAGAAACTTCCCTTGCCGTGACCGTCCCCAGACCCAAGGACGCCAACCACCCAGGCGTGTGCAGTTACCGCTAGGCCTTCCATCCCGAGAACCCTCTTCGCGCGACAGGAGGCTTGCGCTGTGATTCTCCCAAGCAGCGGCGGCGTCCTGAGCAGAGGCCCCCATCGTGACCCACTAGGCTTCACGGCCCCAGTCGAAGCCCACCAGGACACCGACACTGCCTCCCCCACCCGTCTTGGTGCTGCCGACTGCGAGGTATCTTCCACGGAACCCACCAGGGATGACGTTACGTGCCAGTAGCACCATCACCACGTCCTATGTCACAACGCCAGTTCGAGGGCAACGAGGGTCAGAGGTTCAGAGAGTTTTGTGTGTCCTCATCGATCGCTGTCCTTTCGACTACGTCGAATGCGATATGTTGATGAGCATATACGACGATCTCGCCCAGGATGTGGTCAGCGGGTACGGCCTCGGCCGCATACGAGCCAGATGGAATGACAGTGAGGAGTCTGTACGAGACCATCGTCGCGAAAGGCTCCTGCCCCGCTTTAGACGACATCCTCCTCGGACGCGATCTGGGGCAGTCCGCCAAGCACCTGGTCGTGCGAGAGTCCGCCATGGCCAAACCACTGGCCGACGACCCCTGGGGCTCTGTCGCGATCTCCCCAGCAGCTGCCACGGTGGGAGCGACCGCCGTTGAGCAGGTTCCTTGGACCTATAAGCCAGTACCCCTGGCCCCCCTGGACGGCGGGTGCACTCACCAGGGCGGAGCCCAGGGCGGAGGCAGCCTCGGCGACGCCCACGGCGCGGCAAAGGCCGGCGTCAGCACCGCCGCCCACAAGGTCGCCCGCCTCCACGACCGCACTCACGCGAGCTGCTGTCTTCAGACGACGACTGGGACCTGCGGGACGAGGCGAACCCGTCGAGCAGCGTGCCAGGTCGCTCCGCGGCCCGGCCGTCCGCCCTCGGGGCCGAGCCCGGGCCCGCCGGGGCAAGCGCGCGGCCCGCCCGGGCCGACGCGCTGCCCGGCATCGCAGGCCTCGCCCCTCCGCCCGCGCCCCCGCCCAACCAGGAAGGCACCAAGGTGGCGGCCATGAGCCACGCAAAGAGGCCCACGCACTGCCCGCGCCCCCGCCCAACTAGGAAGGCACCGAGGTGGCGGCCATGAGCCACGTAAAGAGGCCCGTGAACTGCCCGCGCCCCCACCCAACTAGGAAGGCACCGAGGTGGCGGCCATGAGCCACGTAAAGAGGCCCATGAACTGCCCGCGCGGCTCTGTCATCGGCCGCGCGGGGGCTCAGAACCAGCACTGGGTGATCCTACTGACCAGTGGCAGCGCTGCCCCCCTGCTCGCGGCACGGCATGTTTGACTCTTCTCTCCCGATCGCGGGCCGAACCCGCTTGGGGAGGCCAAGCGGGCGGGAGTTAACGCTGCGCCAACGTCAGCGCCCAGGTCAACGGAGACGTCGGCCCCGTCGACCGCGGGATCTATGGCTGAGCCACCTGAGCTCGCATCGCCGATGCCAGCTGTCGCACCAGCGACTGCGGAGCCGTCGGGCTCAATCTCGCCCAGGGGCTCGGCTCGCGGCAGCGGGGGCGCCTTGGCAAGCTCAGCTCGGCGAGTGCGCTTTTCTGCATAAGCACTGGCGCGGACGGCGACCCTTCGTTGGCCAACCTCTTTCTGGCACCCCTGAGGGCCACGCCGAGGAGGCCCCGCGCGAGGCCACCGGCGCGGCCCCCCACGAGCCCCCGATCGGGCAATGTCTGCGCGGGCGAGACCCGCTACTCCCTCGGCCCCCATTCTTCTTCTCTGCGCAGCGGATTGCTCATTACACAGGGTGTGTGACGCAGCGCAGTTTTGTTCCTCCTAATGTCGTGGGGTGCTCGACGGTCTCAGCTTGCCTTGGGTCGTGCGCTGCAATGGAACTACCGGGCCACCTTTTCGCAGAGCTCCACCCGGCGCGCCGCTTCGAAAGCTTGCTCAGGGCGAGCGCGCGCCTTGTTCCCCTTGCCCCGCGGTCGCGACCAGCCCGCCAGGGCGCGCGGGCATGGGCGCCAGCGGCCTCGCACCCGCGACGTTGACGAGCAGTGCAGCGAGCGCAGCACGTGCACGACCATCGAGCAGCGCCGCGATGGGCAGAACTACGGGGCCCAGCATCAACCGCCTCACGCCCACGAGTGAGACTAGCAGTGCGCCGAAACCACGTCTTTCGGCGGCATTTCTGCAGCTGGCACCTCGACGCTGGGCAACGCGGTGGAGATGGGCGCCGCAGCGTCAAGCAGCGCGACGGGATCCAGCGCCAATAGCTTCGCAATCACGAGCGAGACGAGCAGTGCAACGAGCGTCGCGTCTTTCGGCAGTTTGTCCGGGACCAGCACCTCGATGCTGATCGGCACGGCGGGGCCAGGCATCGCGACGGCGCGCGTCAAGACGGGGGCCGACATCAGCAGCCTCGCAATTACAAGTGAGACGAGCCAGCACAAGGACCCTCTGCGCAGCGCCTCCGGGGCCAGCTCCACGACGCCGCGCAGCGCGACGACGTCGAGCACTGCGACGTTGAGCAGCGCGACAGGGCCCAGCCCCAGCAGCCTCGCACCTACGAGCGAGACGAGAAGCGCATCGAACACCACGCGTCCCAGCGGCACGTCCGCGACCAGCACCTCGACACTGAGCAGCGCGACGGCGCTCAGCACCGCGGCGCTGAACAGCGCGACGCGGCCCAGCACCAGCGGCCGCGCATTTGCGAGCGAGACGAGCAGCAGCGCAGCGAAGACCGCGTCTCTTAGCGGCGCGTCTGGGAGCGGCACCGCGGTTGCGAGCAGCGCGACGGAGTCAGGTTCTCCTCGGCGGTTCTGGCCACGGGGAGACCCCGCAGGCTCTTCCAGGCGGCCACCGGGGGTTGCCGGCCGCTCGGCGCCTCCAGTGGGACCCCTGCCTGGGTGAGAGGGGGTGCGGCCTTCCGCGGCGCCGCGGCCCCTTGGCTCAGGCCCCCCCCGCTGGCGATGATCGCTGCCTGTCGGTCCCGCGCCGCGCGGGGGACAGCTGGGCCCCTCCCGGCGGCCCCCCCGGGGCTTGGCGGAGGAGCGGAGGTGGGGCCCGAGGCGGGGCCGGCACGGCAGCGCGACCTCCCCGGGCGACATCGTGGCGCGCGCTGCGACGCGCTCGCGCGCCAGGCTTCGCGCCGCGACGTCCGCCGCGACGCCCGCTCGCAACGGCGACGTGGATGAGCGAGGCCCTCCCTCGTGGGCCAGCCCCAGCGCCCCGGCCCGCAGTGCTGGCAAACGCCGGCGCGCGCCCGCCACCCCGGCAGAGCGGCGCTGTCCACCCGGCCAGGGGGCGGGGGCCAAGGGCTCCAAAGCCCTTGCGCTGGGGAGAGGGGGCCCGGGCGGCCGTCGCGCAGTCCGCCGCCCGGAAGCGGGCCCACACGCAACGCCCTTTCGCTCTTCCCGCGTCCGAGGGGGCACGAGGCGACGATGCCTCTGGAGGCGGGGGGCCGCCGGGGCCCCGCCCCGGGCGCCGGGCCGCCTACCGCGCGCGTTGCACGGGGGCTCGACCACGCGGAACATAGCTCAGCCCCTAATGAGCTCCCGTCGCGCTGCTGTCGGCCACGAGCCCGCGCTGCCAGCCTTGCCCAGGTCCTGCGTCGCATCAAGTAACGGTCAGGATCCCATCAGGATCCCCGCTTGACATATTTCAACGAGCGCAGTCCGCCTGGAACTGACGAACGAAAAACGCACACCCATACCCATCAGGGGGTCGTTGGGAGGAGGACCGGCTATGGGTATGGGTGCGGGTTGTCGGACCCTAGGGAGCGCTCCCGTTCGAGCGGGGACCCCCATCCGACAACACGCACCCATAGCCCTTTCCGGCACCCCTATGGGTATGGGTGTGTGTTGTTGGCTCGTCATGGAACGGCCTTCATCAGGCCTTCTGATCGCTTGCTCGCCTTGGGACCGCTCCCCAGGCAAGCTTCCAAGCGCGTTTCGATGCCCGCCGCCAGCACGCCAGTGTTAGCCTCTCCATATCCTTGAGCGCGCTGCGAGAACTGCTGGCAACTGTGCCGTAGCCCGATCACAGGGCCGCAGTGGGGGATGCCCCACGGTGGTGCCTTGTGTCACTGAAGTGCCGAGGCGTGCATGCCAACGCTCGTTTGAAGCCAGCGCC